TCCCCACTCCCAAATGGAATTGTATGCTCTTGGAAATCAGAGTCTATTTTTAGTTACTATTAAATTTTATTAACTCTGAAATGCATTTTTCAATATGATTAACTTCCTTGAAGTCAAGATGCATCTTATAATCAATGATGTCTTAAACATTGTAATAGTTTAATTGGCAGTATTTCTTCTTTCTTGGTGGTACATAAAATAATGGTATGCCTTATATTCTTAAATTCCATAAAATACCATTCTGAGGGGCATCGTTGCAGCCTTTAATCGAGTATGAAGCTCACTGTAGACACTCCATAAGTGCTTGTTGGCTGATTTATTTCCTAGTTATATGGTTTGAACCACAAAAATGACTGCAATAAAGGTAACCCACCTATCTAGCACGTTACTAATTTAAGAAAATAAGACAAAAATTATTTGCTTTTTGAGAGAAGGTAGAAAAGATGAAAAAAGAATTAAACAAATATATGGAACCTACTTATTTTAAAAAATGTATATCATAAAGGATAGAACTCAAAATTTCTGAATTATGTCCTAAGCTGTCTTTCTCCAGGTTTTGAAAAGATATCACTTGTTTTGGGCCATGTGAGATCCTTAAGTATCACTTACAGACATGCAAATAATTAATATTTGGAAGGAAATATAGAAAGTTTCTGCTTCTGTTTTTTTTATTATTCCCATAACAATGCATATATAAATAAAAAATGTTGTATAATCAAAACTTTTCAGTAACAAATTCATATGAGGCATTGTATTCATAAATTTGCATTCACATTTGCTTTAATTGAACTAATTTTTTGAAAATGTCTTTAAAAAATCCACACAGCAGCAGTACTATAATCATGAGAGAAGTCTAGTTTTTTCTGTATTCATTTCAGGCTGTGTCTGCATATTTTCAGTGAGGTACAGAATTGAGACTGTTAACTCAAGCCAAAATTTTTAATGTAAAGTATATATTTGGTTATTTATGATTTTACCCATATAAGTGATATCTGAATTAATGAAGATTACTCTCTCCTATGATGATTTTATATTGTAAGATGTCAGAATGTGTATCATAATGGGATAAAAGTAAGCATTGGGATCCAACTAACCTGAGGTTCAATACAGGACCCACTGTTCACTAGCTTTTGCATTTCAATCAATTAATCTCAAAGTGGGATTTTGCGAGGATTAGAAGTGGCACTTGGCAAATGACTAGCATAGCGCTTGGCATTGACACTCTAAATCTGTTAGAAAACCGTGTGGGGGTGGTGGCATGGGAACGTATTCCTGGCTGTATTCACTTCCATTTCAATCAATTAATCTCAAAGTGGGATTTTTGCGAGGATTAGAAGTGGCACTTGGAAAATGACTAGCACAGCACTTGGCATAGACACTCTAAATCTGTTAGAAAAACGTGTGGGGTGGTGGCATGGGAACAATCTTCTATACAGTGATGTGGTAACTAAATGCATGGGCTTTTGAGTAAGAGGAACTCTGTTCAACTATCCTTATTAGTAGAATCTAACAAACAAATGCAAACTCTGTGACCAAATGCTAGGTCCTTAAGTTTCAAATAAAATGTCCTTCTCTTCAAAAATGTAGAAGGTATTACCTCCTTCGTGGGGTTGTCATGAGGATCGAATCCGGTAGTGTTTGTATAATGCTGGGACATAGAATCAGTTTTACTGGGGAGGTTCAGTTTTCATCTTACTCAACACTATCAGCAGCATATGACACAGCTGATCACACTGTCCTCCTTGAAACACTCTCTTTATTTGTACTCTCAGACCTCTCTTTCCTATCTCCTGGACTTCTTCCTAGTCTTCTTTGCTGAATCCTCCTCATCTCCCTCACCCCTGAATGAGGGCACACATTGGGCTTCTCTCAACCTTCAGAACTAGATCATCTCATTCAGACTCGTGGTTTTAAATGGCAGCTTTAAGCTGATTATGACAAAATTTTTATCTCCAGCAGAGATCTCTACTATGAAGTCCAGATTCATATGTGCAGCTGCCCACTTGGCATCTCCTTTTGGTTGAATAATAAGCATATTAAACTCAACATGTCTCAAACTGAACTCTTCATTTCC